TTGGAAGGAAATTTTCATGGAAAACCTGAACAAGCATTGTGTTGTTGCCTAGTTTGTCTCCAGGCTCTTGAAAATTAATCAAAAATAGTTGTGTATATTGTCAAGGGAACTATTTCAAAGTGGATGGGGGCCAAATTTATAATTGTAGACATCAACTGAATGCAGCTTATGGATTAAATATTTCATTTATTCGACAAGAGTATTATATCCTTGGGTACATACTCAGATAATTACTATTAATTTTATATATAAATTCCTTTTACATTTAATTTACTTTTGTATTTATAGAAATCATTATCATCAGTTCTCTGAGCAGGTGTGGTCATAGGACCACTGTGTAACTGAGCACTTAACCAATTTACTTCTAGGTAAATCTGGGTTTAAAGCTGTAGAAGTATTCATTTGTGCATAGCACCATGACAAGTAAACCTGGTGGAGCCCATTTCTCTCCAGGTCAAACCACAGCCAATGTCCTCTGTAATATCCTATAGTCACATTGTATGAACAATAGACTTGACCACCTGATTTATCTCCCTTTTATTTTGGAGCTGAGTTTCATTTAGCTAAATAAAGTTTAGTACTTTTACTTCTGTTCTGAGTTTTGTTTTACTTATCACAATTTATTTACCTAAATACATATAAAAATGAATATGGAAACAGCATGGAGGCTAAAGCACTTGGATATTGACCCCTGTTCACCAACAGTTGCCAGAGATTATTGCCATTGGTGAACCATCCTGTTGAACTATTTTGATGATTACAAGAACAGAATTCTTAAATACTGGGCCCTCAAGCTGTATGAGTTTCAACACGTTTGAATATATAGAAGGATGTACGGATTTCGACATGACTATACAAAAATTGGCTAATTTATTTGTTATAACACCTAATGAGGTTTTCGTGTGGCACTTGGCTTTGAGACATCAGAAGCCTGGAGAGTCACTGGATGAATTTTTCCGAGAGTTGGAAAAGCTGAGGAAGAACTGCAACTTTAGAGACCATATTGCTGAAGAATGTGGCAATGAAGCTATGCAAGACATCTTCATCACAGGCATAGGTTTGCATCCCATACAGAAGCATTTCCTGAAAAATGACTCTAAACCTTCAAGCTTCTGCTATGAACTTAGCCCAATGAAATAACGACCTGTACACTACTTCAGAGGCTCAAATGGCAGTAATAGTCGACCTAGAACCCACAAAGGTATGTGAGAATTGTTATAAAACTCTGGTCAAACCAAACAAACCAGCAGTAGTTGTGACCTATCAAGCAAAACATAAATGCTATTTCTGTGGATTTCCCTATCATTTGCAGGACCTCTGTCCTGCCCATGTAACTACTTATAAAAAATGCTTAAAGCAAGGACATTATGCTTATGCATGTTGGTCAAAACCTTTGTCAATACTGATCATGCTTACTAATGTACCATGGGAACTGCTGTGATGCATGTAATTGTTAATGGAAAAAAACTAACTGCTCTACTAAATTCTTGTAGCACTGACAGTTATCTCAGTGAAGGATTTGTTCAGGAACTAAACTTGAAAGTTCACCTGTCTGGTAAAGGTATCACCATGGCCCAGAAAACTTAAACTACTTCAAGGGAATATGTAGTATAAATCTAACACTTTGCCTTAATGACCAGTCATATGTTACCTGCCAGTTGGGTGTTTTGAAGGATTTGTGTTCTGATGTGATGCTCAGCCAGGATTTTCTGTGTCAGCATCAGAGGGCAACATTCAAATATGGCAGGTCCTTGCCCAAATTAACTGTGGATGGTGCTCGTCAATTCTGTGCATTAAACATGGCAGAACTGAACTGTAAGCCTATTGGCACCAATTTGAGGCACTTTAATAAGGAAGATCAGGCCTTCATCACTAAATGAATTCAGAACTTGCTTTCTGAAGGCATTATTGAAGAAAGCGTTTCACTTTGGCAAGCCCAGCTAGTAGTGGTGAAGGACACTAACCACCAGCATAAAAAACAAATGTGGGTAGATTACTCACAGATGATAAATCTATACACAGAACTGGATGCTTATCCTCTGACAAGAATTGATAAAATGATTAATGACCTTGCTAGATACAGTTTTTTTTTTTTCTCAATTTGACCTCAAAAGTGCCTACCAATAAATGCCACTCAAAGAATCAGATAAAAAATATACTGCTTTTGAGGTGAAGAGTTGTTTGTTTCAGTTCTGTAGAATTCCATTTGCGGTAAAAAGAAAACAGAGCCGCTTTGTTCCAGAGAATTATTGACAGAATAATAAAGAAAGAAAACCTACGCAGAAAGAAAACCCTTACATCAACGATATCACAATTGCAGGGCACATGCAGACAGAACATGACCAAAACTTAAAAAAGTTCCTGGAGGCTGTTACAAAAGCTAAACTTATCACCAACAAGTTGAAAACTGTCTTTGGTATGCTCCATCAAAGTGTTGGGATATTGTGTCAGCAGTGGAGTTATTAAGCCCGACCCAGAAAGACTTTGTTCCTTATGAGAGTTATCTCCACTAGAAAACTCAAAATCATTAATAAGGATGCTGGGTATGTTCGCATATTACGTGAAATGGATAAACAAATTTTCTAATAAAATTCTACCTTTTTAATAGAAACTAAGAAGTTCTCACTTTAGGGATCACTCAAAGCTTTCAATCAATTAAAAAAAAGAACTTTAAGACTTGTCTTGGTCAAGGATATGTGGTTATTGATTCCATTGACGTGATCCTTTGCTCTGGCTACTGACTTTAGTCTAGAAAATACTTTTCCCAGCAATGTTGTGCCATCATCACATTGGGATCCATAGCTACATATGCAGACAATCTACTCCATTGTACCAGACGGCTATTGACCATACAAGAAGGTTCTTTGACAGATTTTGCTTTTTAGTCCTGTTTGATGTCTAACTACTCTCTGCACCAGAAAAGCCTGGTGGGAGAAATGGTTTAGTTATTAATGACCTGACCATGCAGCAGGTAGTATTGGGTTGCATGGTATCAGTAGCATTATCTGATCTAAAACTTTCCTAAAAGACTTCTATCAGAGTTTGTTTATTCATAATGGCAAAATATTATTTCATATGGTTTAACATAAATCCTCATCTGAGGTTTATAACTATCCATAATTTTACCTTGTGTTTGCCAGAGTTTTCTTTTTTTTCTTTTTATTCTAACAATCTGATCTACTTTGGAAAAAAGTTTGACCTTTGAGATAAGAGAGAGAAAACAGTTTTATAAAATCTATACTCTTTTACTTTATAAATATTTTCATAAAAATTTTCCCTCATGACAAACTAAATTTTCACACTGGTAACCAACATAAGATTATATTCAGTAACCTAAAATTATCAAGAAGACACTAGTAATAATTACTAAGTATGAAAAAAAAATACCCCAAAACTTTACTTTTTCACTGATTATCAGAAAGTCTGCTCTTGTTGCTTGCAGCAATATTTCATCTTTATAAAGTGAGTCAGAAATTTAAGGGAAAATTTTTGTTATTTCTGATAAAATCTTTTTTCTTTTGGTTGGCAAAGCTGTCCACTTGAGACCAGAAATACTAATGTTGTCTACTTATAATGTTTCCATTTATGTGAGAAAACCAATTTATTTTTATTTTTTTTAAACTGGCAATAAGAATATTTTCTTGATTTATTTCTCTTTTGAAGAGTCATTTTGAATCTGTTGTGTTCATCTGTAGGAAAGTGAAAGTAGACAAAAACGACATTATACACATAATCACCAAGATTCTGTCAGTGTTCAGGAATTAAGGCAGTCCTTTTCTTTTGATTTCTGTAGCAAATTCATTTATATTGGTTCTTCTACAGCAGTTGTTTGTAATACATTGATATTATATAGGGGGTGGGGTGCTGAAAATTTCTTAACTAAATCCACTTCCCAAAATCGTATTCTTAGAATTACGCATTGAAATACCGATTTGGAGGAATGGATTGAACTAAGAACTTGTCGGCACCCTCTTGTACATAGCGATATCAAAAAATCTCAGTTAAATAATAAATGGTTTTATACTGTACAACAAATGTAACATATTTCATTATAATTTCCTTCTTTCTGTCTGAATTTCTAGGATGACGAATTATCATTATTTTCAGTACTCTCTTCCTCTTACTTGCTTCCCTGATAGCTATAATCTCCAACTATTCAAATGCAATTGACATCTCCAGATACCTTGATCTATTTCCTGTTCTTCTCTTCATCCTTTCCTCTTTCATCCTCTTTACTCTTGCTCCCAAATTCTGTAACCACTTGCGTTCTAGTGGCACTCTTGCCTTGCTTGGGGTGAAAAGTTAAAAGAAAAAAAAGTTCAGAATTTGTTGTAGGTTACCTTGATCTAGCTAACCTTCAGAGAATTTTGAAATGAACTCATTTAATCTATGGAGTGGAGCTGATAATAGAATAACAGTCCAAAACATTGTGATAATAACAACAAAGATGAGGACAATAGTCCAACTATCAATAGTGTAAATAATAATTTCCTTCTGTCTGGATTTCTGGGATAAGGAGTTATTATTTGCATGTGGACTATTATCTTATTGCCAGACCCCCACCACATGGTGCAGATTAAATAACAGGTTCATTTAAAAATTTTCTAAAGGTTACCTAGACCAACAATCACCTGGAGTGCACAATGGCTGAAACAAGAACACAGATGATGATAATAGTCTGCATGTAAATAATAATTTCCTTCTTTGATAATGCCCTTAATTCAGTGATGATTATTAGCCATATTGATTAAACATTATACAATGAAAATTTCAAATCAAAACTCACTAAATATTTATATATCCAGCTAGAGACTTATTGACACAGCTTTGTACATTAACTGTATTCTGTCACTGTCATCTGTTTTAATTTGTGATCACTGATTTTATTTATTTATTTTTTTTTTTCAAGAAAATCATTTGATGCTGTAATCTGGCAGCAGTATGAACTGACTTTATACTAACAACAAAGGGATAAATCATGAAAGATGAGAGATACTTACTGTAGATCTGTAATAAGCATCATTATGATTGACATAGAAGTTTGTACAACCAGCATGACATGGTGAAAAGTAGGTGATACCATTGATTCCACAAATTGGTTCTAAGTTGTTTGGAGAACAATCACAATTAGAGTTGCAGGCCGAGGTAAGGTTGGCTTCCATAATTTTATGACCCGTGCTAAAGAAAACAAAAAGAAGAAATGAAACAGAGAAATCATTTTAAGAATATTTTTTATAACAGTTTAGTGTATTATACGCATATTCATATACAGCTTACAAAAATCTTTTTATATATAGTTTTGTATAAGTCTTTCTTTTTTTTATGTATAACTGAAAAAAGATTTTGCTGAGTTGTGTGAAAATGATAAACCCAACAGATCTCTTAATTTTTATTTCCTTACTAAAACTAAAAAAAAAAAATTATGATTTTTTTTTCATTTGACTGATTTCTTTAATATAATCATAGTTCATTTACAATCCTGAGTAATCTTTTAACACAAGCAATATCTGATCAACTTGATGTTTATAAACTTTTTTAATCATTTCACTCCATGCAAGGGAATAAAGTCACTAAGACACAAGGGGTTACTGAGTGTAAGAGAATATGACAAAAAGAAAACAATAAAAGAACAGAAATTAAGAAGGCAGAAGATAACAATTGACATTGCATTTAAATTTTTGAAGATCAAAATTAACTGGGAAGCAAAAAGCTAGAAGAAAGTTCCACAACAGAAGTGCAAGAGAAGAAACTGTTAGCATAGAACTTACAGTTAGATCTAGCTATTTCAACTGTAAAATGATGAGACCTTACTGCCAATCTAGTAGTATGCTTACATTCATAAAGTCTAGGTACCAAAGAGGAAAGTTTGTCAGAGCAATAACCATGAAGTACATTTATTCAATCCTGGCATATAATATCAGTAATTAGGTCTTACTTTAAATGGATTCCTCTAAAATTGATCCACTCTTAGTATCATAGTGAACTATTTGTTTTTTAATATTAAAGTTCAACTAACACAAAACTCAAGAGCTACTTAAGATATGGAGTTACTAATTGACGTGTGTAACATGAATGTAAGACTAGGAAGTGAAGACTGTGAGGATATTGACCCTAGACTTGAAGAGGTCAAGATTGTAGTATTTGGGGAAGCATCCATGTGGGAGTTTGTTCCACAAGCAGTGATTCTTGGAAAAGAAGCTGTCTGAATGGAAATTCCTCTGTACAAATGGAATATGAAGGGGATGTTAGCTGTAAAGGTCTGAACTAGTGGAGCTATAGAAAGGAGCTTGTCTAAACATTTGCCATGGAAATAGTGATAGTGACAGGTTTGTATCATTGCATCTGTGGGGGAAAAAAGGTTGCAGGGTGGAAAATGTCATCTCCCACGGGGGGGGGGGTGCATAAATGACTTTTAACCCTATCAAGGCTGGAAAGTGAGGATTTGGCAGCAATACTCTATTTTGTTTTTGTCTAATCTGACTATTATAAAGAAAAATCGTGACAGAAAGAGTCCAGTGCTTTCTGGAGCAGTAGAATGAACCAAATATTTTTTTCCCGTAGCTTTAGCAATGGGTCTTTATAATTTCTCTAAAATTTCTCCATCAGAACAGCTGTAAATATTTTGATCAAAAAGTTTTCAGAATTGTAACATGAAGAGAATTTTTTTAATTTAGTAGATAATGTAATTAGCAAAACAATTTACTTGAAAGAAATTAAAACCATCAGGAATCAACTTAACATTTAATAATAATAATATTATACAAATATATATATATATATATATATATATATATATAGGTATTTTTGAGATTGATAAAAAAAATAGCATGAATAAAAAAGACCTTAAACTTGATGAAAATAATTTTTTACTGCCTAAATGTTTGTTATTATCAGGAGGAAAGATCAAAGTATTTTTTGATTATTTTTTTTACATTTTTTAATCATTCCTAGAATGTCCAAAATTTTCCTTAAAAATCTTTTTTGATTCACCAAATTTGACAGAAAATCAATCAACAGCCATTTTCTTCACTTTTGTTTACAAAAGTGAAATTCTCTGTTCTAAATTCTCTTGTTTTAAAATTCTTTCAAAAATAAATTATAATTTTTTCAAAATTTAAGAAAATTAGAAATTATAAAGTTTGTTTGATATATTTTGAAACAAACATTACTTGCTTTCTGCACTGAAAAAATGTACTTGAAAATAAGAGAAAGCCGGTCTTAACAGGGGTGTAGATTGATTTCATCATGCACTGACATCTTACATGAGAAAAAGTTATTGTATAGAAGGTCAGAAGTGATATAATTTAGCTTTAAGTGAACAAGCTTATTTACCTCATTATTTTTATGGAAAATTATCAGTGCTCTAATCTTTTTTTTTTGTTTTTTGGTACTTAGCATTCACTTTTATATTTACAATGCTTTATCAAAAAATATAATACTATAAAATTAATTAAATAAGACATGAAGATTGGGATAAAATTTCATAAGAAAGGTACCTAATTAATTAGTTATCTTTATTATGAAATATTATCAGTAGTGTACATTTTATGTACATTTATTACATTTTATGGCATTAATTGCATTTTCACTCATTTTATTTTTAATTTTGATATTTCATTTATGGAAAAATGACATAACTGAGATAATATAAAACTAAGAACATATGAATTTCATAAGATAATTACATAATACTTTGTAGCTACCCTTATATGTTGTAATCTTAAGTTATATGACAATATTGAAAGAGCAATTTTTTTTCAAATAGTTACATAATCATATACACTTTTTATTTTATTTTTCATAGCCAAGTAAGAACAGAGACTTAAAAATTCAAAGCAACTGGTATCAGACTTTCATGAAATTTCAGTGTTTCGTCTAATGTAAATGTAAAAATGTAAAGGCCATTAACAGCGTTAAACATTTATATACAAAATCAAATCATGTGACGTATTTATTGTATCATGTATCTTCTGGGATTCCATGTATTTGAATTACAACCATTTTATGGATACAAAAGGCAAGGAACAGTAAGATTTTTCTAACTGGATGCTTGTTGATTGTAAAAAACTTGTGCAATTTATAATCTGTACAGATAGATCTACTTAATAAAACCATTAAGTAAAGGATTTGCTATTTCCACTGATTTTACAATATTTAACAACTTTAATGTAAAAATAATAAAATAATTTTAGAAATGACAATTAATTCTTTTAAAAATTCAATTTTTATTGAAAAAGTTTTTTGCCTTCAAACAATATTATGCATATTCATAAAAAAAATAGAAGCAACTAAAAGCATTTGAAATTAAATATTTTTGTTTTATTGAGTTTTATGTTACAATTCAGAGCTGATTTTAGGTAAATGAGGTCTGATTTAAAACAAAACATGATTTACTTTCCTCAAAGCCTTGTGCTTTTAACTAATATCATGACTTGTGTGCTTCAACATTGAATTTCTAGAGTTTTCATAAAATTATTTATGGTGGGAGGTTATAGATATTTTTATCATGACTTTAAAAAAAAATAGCATATTTATAATATTTTCCAACATTCGTGAATAGTTTCTGAAAGTTTCATTAAGATATGACAATTATTTCTATTTTTGAAAGATTTTCAAAATTAATGTCTGTCATTAAAAAAAAAAATGAACAAAAATTTGCTGTTATTTACTACTTCCGTCAACAAAGAGAAACAAATGTTTTTTTTTGTTTTTTTTTTAATCAGAAGTTATAATGTTCTAAAAAGACAGAAAAATTTTAAAAAATAATTAAAAAATATTTTGTTCTTTCCTCTTAATAGTAACAAACATTTTGATGATAAAATTTTATTTTCGTTAAGTTTAAGGCCATTTTTATAATGCTATGCTCATTTTCCAGTGGTCTCATGGAGGTACCTAAAATGAGACAAAAAGGAAAACTTATGAATGACATGTTTTGCTGATGTCTTTTGGGCTTGCCTTCTTCCAGTTGCAATGAAAGACGAAACTGTGTTAAATTATGTATTGGGATTTTTAATAAGAGTGCTGAAACACAAAAGCTATTGTGTAGTGATTTCAACATGTTTTTGTTATAATATCTTATAATAAAATAATAATATATCTCTCTATATAAATAGATGACAAATAAATTAAGATAATTGCAAAGGATTTTTTTTAATGAAATTATCATTTAAAGATAATTCTTAAAAGATTTTTAAAAAAAATTAGAATAAAAAAAAAAAAAAAAGATTGACTAGCATACAAATTTTAAATTAAAATCTTCAAAATAGAAAAAAAAAATTGTGTATCTTATGCAATCAAATATATGTCAATACCGTTGTATCAAATTAACTTCCTCCAATAAGGTGTGTTCCATGAAAAGAAAACAAATAAGTGAAAAAGCAATAAAACTCAAGACAGCAGCCCAATTATGTCATTTTTTCATTTTTGTTCCTTCTTCCTTTCCTTCCACCCACTTTTCTTTAGTTTTCTTAATTATCCTTTACCATTCCTCCACACCTTACTCCTTTTTTTTCCTAATTCTGTTGGAAATTAACAGAAAGGCACTTGATGGCTATACCATGCATGTAAAAGATATTACACTGATGTCAGGCAGAAGATCCCTACATAAATGATCCTGTCATTTTTTTTATAGGTACTATGCTTGTGTTTATTAACAAGATCAATACTGCAAAGTTATATCAATAAAAAATATACAAATATTTTTGTATAATCCACTTTAACCTGTTAACTGTCAGAGGTCAATTACTAAATGCCAACTTTTTAATAGGTAACAAAATCTTTTTATGAGTTGATTTATAGTTTCAACAGAAGTCTTAACATGGTTTTCCCATTAAAATCATCACTGAGAATAGAATAAACTCGTAGGCAGCTGCAGATGAAAATGTATCAGAAAATGCCAAGCATGAGGTATCTTGTACCAACAAATTAACATGTACTTGCCAGCATAAAAAAAAACTTGCGAACCACAAGTTATCTTGTGGTTGACAGTCAATGTGTTAATAAATCTAGGCATTTTTTTTTTTTTTTAATATTTTCTTTTTTTTTTTTTATCATTTCACCCAAAGGAAGACAACAGTGCCACTAACACTCATGGGGTTACTGAGTATGAAATTATATAAGAAAAAAAAATTATTAAAGGAGTGAGAAAAATAAAAAAAACAGAATTTAAGATTTAAAAA